TTTATTTATCCAGGTCGTCTCATTGACTCACGAGAACTCATTTTCAAGAGAGACCTGTTTAGGAGCAGATGGTGGGGGTTGAGTGCCTTGCTCAGGGGCCCAGAGTGGGGCGAAGGAGGGTGGAGGGAGGTGTGGGTGTTTCACCTTTTCCACCCACATTTTGATGTTGACAGTACCAGGAGTTGAACCTGCGACTTTCCGATCACAGGCCCATCTTCTCTGACCTCTGCACCACCACTCCCCACACGCTGCTGCTCCTCTGATGTCGGTAAAAACGACTTACTGGATAAATCGTGTCTTCTGCTTCCTCCTGCAGTCTGACGGTTTCAAGCAGCGAGTCCTCCTCGAGTTTTTATCAGGAGGCCCAACAGAACCGGCCTCACCCCCTCGGCAGGACGGTGGTCAGGTGTCATTAACGACCGCCTCACGCTCGTGTTGAGCCATCGTGGGCGTTATCCTCGTGTCAGGGAGAACCTGAGCCTGCAGCCGGTTCAGGTAGAACCAGGTATGTTTGGGTTCATCTGAAGCGGTGTGGAATTATGGGATGTAGCTTGTTTCCTTCAGCAGCTTGTCTTTGTTCAGCCATGACCCTCAGCTACTACCACACAACGTTTGAGCTCCAGCTCTGTAAAAATGACTGAGCTACAACTGGTTTGGTGTTCGTAAAGCTTGCGTAGCTGTGGCGGCCATCTTGAATCAGGTTGACTACAAACAATCAGTCATCGAGGAACATCCAGTGATCACTTTCTGAGAGTTTTGTTGCCATCCACCCAGTGCTTTGTGAGATATTTTGCTAACAGATTTTTCATGCTTGCTTTCGACAAAGGCGGACGCTTTTCCCTCCTTCTGCTCTTTGTCCCGTTTATAATGTCATGAACATGTTGCTGTTTCTGCACTGAGGCCTTTTTTTCATCTCTCACACCGTGTCCCATCTAGGACATACTGTGTCCCGTCTAGGATACAATGTGTCCCGTCTAGGACACACCGTGTCCCATCTAGGATACACTGTGTCTCATCTAGGACACACTGTGTCCTGTCTAGGATACAGTGTGTCCCGTCTAGGACACACTGTGTCCTGTCTAGGATACAGTGTGTCCCGTCTAGGATACAGTGTGTCCCGTCTAGGACACACTGTGTCCTGTCTA